CAGTGAACGGCAAAAGGCCCTGTGTTTAAAATGTTTATTTTTCCCATGAAAAATGATGAAATATATGAAAGACAGAGCATCTATTAGCTTTTTTCAGCATGAGCTTTTTATAGGCCTACTTCGATGAAAATCCTGTTTTTCCTGTAGTCCACATGTTCATATAACATTTTTATGATGTAAGATGACATATCATGAGAAAACTAAGAGTATTTCTGCATTTAAATCACTGTGAACCTCTGGCAGACCCAAACAGCAGGTTCAGACCCAGTAGGATTTTCTTCGTCACGAGTCCATGCTCCAATCCTGGAGCCCCACTATGCAGGCCAAGAACTAAAGACAATGGTGGAACAAGTGTGTGCAATTGCGGAATGCTCATAAGAAAGCTAAATATGATATTAGCTTTCGTCATGCCCCCAAAAGACATTAGTGATTGAGAACTGAGGAGTTCCTATATAAGCAGCTGCCACTTCTGCTGCACTGGCAATGTTGGGCTACAAACTAACGTGAAGAAGAGTGTGAAGAGGATAGCGCAGTTATAAAATAACATTCCGAGGCACATGGATACAATTAAATAAATATTTCTTGTTTTTCAAGCATGTATTTTACCTTGACCTTAAAATAAATGCATTTTTTAAAAATTATATTGGTCTCAAATGTGGCACCAACTGACTGGGCACCCAAAAATCAGTAGGTAACGACACCTTAAATGTGTTTTTACTGCAAACACTGCATTTGGTTCCGAAGTTAAGCATTTTTCAATATTTTCAGCGGCCATTTATAATTTGACCTCACCCGGGCCTCAGGCGTCAAATCTGACTTCCCTCCACATCTGAAAATAAACCTCATGGTATCATCTAACTATGGTAGAAGTTTCATGCTTTTCTCAAAAAGTGCACAATTCCTTTTGTTTTGGGGGCTAAGCCGCTGTACTATCAAAATTTGGGTTAATTTAAATAACCCAACAGCCTGGGTCAAAATGACCAAATAAGTAGTCGGTCCCTTTTCCACCCTGGTGTTGGGTTAAAAAAAAACCAAGTTGGGTTGTTTTTAACCCAGGGGTTTTTAGAGAGTTTGAGCAACTGGATCTCTGCAGAAGAAAAGCCCTTGAAAATGACACAGGTAACATGATTTTGGTTAAAAACTCACAATTTAAAGACCACTGAGAACACTTTAAATTGTTAAAAAAAAAAAAAGAAATCATAGTGGGACTTGAAACACTATTTAATAGCAAACAGACTAATAACAGTAATCAGTAATCTATGGGCTGTTTTTATCAGAGAAGATTAGAGAACTTCAATTCCCGTAGCAGTACCACTAGTTGACTTACTGTTTATGTAAACTGTAAACAAAGAATAGCAGCCCAGGGGGGCTTCTGAAGATAGCTCATTTGAGAGTCATTAATAATAACTGTGTGATTGCCTGTCTCTGGATAGCAAGTTGTAGAGATGTCAATAAAAAGACAACACACAAGTAATAGAGAATACTTTTTCATGGATTGATAATGTCTATATTATCATGCTTATCATTTGGTCTCAAATCAGATCTCAGTTCAGTTGCAGCTCAGCAGCCATTTCATGCCAGTCAATCAAACAAGTAAATTGCCTGTGTGGTAATTAGCTTGCTAGTCTGCTTGTGTGTTCTGACAGTGCTGTGATTATTTTCTCTGCTCATTCATTTCCAGTGACATTTTACTGTCAGCTTCTAACACTCATCACAAAAGATGCCACAGATCGACTGTGTGTGTGTGTGTGTGTGTGTGTGAGAGAGAGCGTGTTGGTCAGAACACAGTCAGGATTTAGGGAACAGCAGATGAGACAGAAGGCATGTTGGGCACTTTCAAATGTGTTTGTCTGCACAATTTCAGCAGTGTGTCTGCCCACTTGTGTATTTAAGAGTTTGAGAGTTGATGGGGCTCAGGATTAGCAGAGATCTCAGTCTTTTTTTCCTTTGCATAGATACAAATCCATCGTCACTGCCAAAGAGTGATGATCATGTTCCTCTCCCACAACAAACCCAGACAAAGAAACACACAGCAGTAAGCAGGTTACAACCACAGTCTTGATGGCTGATGAATAGTAGGGTAGCAGGATTTTTTTTTCTTTTTTTGTTGATAGAAAATAAGGCCTATTTCAATCATTTCTGTGAGGTAATTCTAAAGAGGCAGACCGAAGTAATGAATACTGAAAGCATCCAACATGCTTACGTTAAACCCTATCATATTACATAGCAGATCTTCACGAACACAGTGAATCAGTGTGTAACTGGCATTTGTGCCAATCATGCGGCAGCCTTCAGGCCTCATAATTTAAACCAATGAGAAAGAGCTAAAATTTGCAATTCCCACAAATGTAAACATCCTGGCTTAAAAATAGATTAAGTCTAAGTAGCTCAGTTGCCCCGTTGAACACACTTAACAGGAAGTTTGATTTTTTTTTTTGTTTAATAAGGCATTTGTTTCAAAAACATTAAGGTTATACACTCACCGGCCACTTTATTAGGTACACCATGCTAGTAACGGGTTGGACCCCCTTTTGCCTTCAGAACTGCCTCAATTCTTCGTGGCATAGATTCAACAAGGTGCTGGAAGCATTCCTCAGAGAGCTTGGTCCATATTGACATGATGGCATCACACAGTTGCCGCAGATTTGTCGGCTGCACATCCATGATGCGAATCTCCCGTTCCACCACATCCCAAAGATGCTCTATTGGATTGAGATCTGGTGACTGTGGAGGCCATTTGAGTACAGTGAACTCATTGTCATGTTCAAGAAACCAGTCTGAGATGATTCCAGCTTTATGACATGGTGCATTATCCTGCTGAAAGTAGCCATCAGAAGTTGGGTACATTGTGGTCATAAAGGGATGGACATGGTCAGCAACAATACTCAGGTAGGCTGCGGCGTTGCAACGATGCTCAATTGGTACCAAGGGGCCCAAAGAGTGCCAAGAAAATATTCCCCACACCATGACACCACCACCACCAGCCTGAACCGTTGATACAAGGCAGGATGGATCCATGCTTTCATGTTGTTGACGCCAAATTCTGACCCTACCATCCGAATGTCACAGCAGAAATCGAGACTCATCAGACCAGGCAACGTTTTTCCAATCTTCTATTGTCCAATTTCGATGAGCTTGTGCAAATTGTAGCCTCAGTTTCCTGTTCTTAGCTGAAAGGAGTGGCACCCGTTGTGGTCTTCTGCTGCTGTAGCGCATCTGCCTCAAAGTTCGACGTACTGTGCGTTCAGAGATGCTCTTCTGCCTACCTTGGTTGTAACGGGTGGTTATTTGAGTCACTGTTGCCTTTCTATCAGCTCGAACCAGTCTGGCCATTCTCCTCTGACCTCTGGCATCAACAAGGCATTTCCGCCCACAGAACTGCCGCTCACTGGATATTTTTTCTTTTTCGGACCATTCTCTGTAAACCCTAGAGATGGTTGTGCGTGAAAATCCCAGTAGATCAGCAGTTTCTGAAATACTCAGACCAGCCCTTCTGGCACCAACAACCATGCCACGTTCAAAGTCACTCAAATCACCTTTAGTCCCCATACTGATGCTCGGTTTGAACTGCAGGAGATTGTCTTGACCATGTCTACATGCCTAAATGCACTAAGTTGCCGCCATGTGATTGGCTGATTAGAAATTAAGTGTTAACGAGCAGTTGGACAGGTGTACCTAATAAAGTGGCCGGTGAGTGTACATTCGACAGATTAGAGGCACAGCTGACACACAGAGGCAAACTCTAGCTGTTTGAAGGTGGCTAAATGCCTACCTTAACTCCATCTTTTTGCCTCTTGATTGGTTGACTGAAAGGTTGAGTCAGCATTTCCAATTTAGCAACTACTGCTGAGGGGCCTGAGAACTGTGCTCCAGAAACAAATGGATAAAACCACATTTATAATTTGTACAGTCTATGGGTTTGATAAAGCTGATAGTAAACCTATAGATAGGAATGTTAGGTACTGTCCAAGCTCCCCAACTTTTCTTATCTCAATTTGTTGGATAATAATTATAACTAGCACCATGCAGGGTACCAACGGGCCCGAGCAGTAGCAGACCGCTACCTCTGCGGACTGCCTCCCCATCACACTGCCACCATTTCACACAGCCTGCCATCCCCGGTGTAATGCTCTCCACACCAACCCTAACTGTAGCATCTTTTTAAAAATGGTCACTGCTTTTTAAAACTTATATTCTGAAAATTTTCTCTCATGAGTAGAGATTAAATTTTTTTTGGGAATGATGCCTATCGACCTCACCAGTGTCATCTGTATCATCACTAAGATCTCTTCTGCTCTGTCGTCGAGGGGTCTTTGCTGCTGCTCTCCCTGCCTCATTCAGCTCCTTCTCTTTATTCTGGGTTTGATTTTACCACAGTCATTATTATTATTATTATTATTATTATTTTTTAAATTTGGCTCAGACAGATACAGGCTTTGAGAGAAATTCAAAGAGCCTATCAATGATCTGCAGCTACTCAGACGGGTAAATAAAAACAGAATGTTTATAGATAAAAGTCCATGAAGCTTTGTGAGGGATAACAGTCATATACTGAGGAGGTATTTGTTCAGCCTCTTCTTGAAGGCGTGAACACCAGTCGATGTAATATCTCCAATAACTGCAGCGGGAAGGCTATTCCAAGTTGTTATGGCAGAGTGGAGAAAGCTCCTGTCAAGGCAATTGGTTTTTAACTTTCAGGACATTCAGGGCGTGACTTGGCAGTACTCTCTGGGTGATTCTTCCCACGGTGTGGGCTTGGGGTAGCAGAGCTTTGAGACACTGATTCCTGCTCTCTTCTGCTCTCCTCGTCTTGGCTTTTGTGTACGCACATGTAACAGGCTCACTTGTTGCATCCAGCTAAATGGGTTTTTATTTCAGCAGTTCCGACTTAAATACCTCCATATCACAGTATTTAACTGTAACTGGTCCAGCTCCACCAATGATGCCATCAGCCCTGTTACCTTAAGAGGATCCCTGGTCGCCAACAAGAACATCACTCCTCAGTTTGGAGTCCAGGTACTCCTCAGTTTGGGGTCCAAGTCAGCTACACCTACTACGTATGAGCTGAGCATGCTCTGACCTCCAGCAGCTGAGTTAAATGTGAAACCACTGAAGGCATCTTTGGCTGCTTTCTCTCTGTGCAAACCGTCATCAGACAGGGAGTCATGGTGCAGAGAACCCAGCTCCAGAGTCTCATCCAGATAGGGACAGTCCAGGAAATCCCTCGAGGACCAGTGATCATACCCAGGCTTGGTGAGGCAGGAGGTGGAGGGTGAAGGTGGGGGTGAGAGGAGGAGATGGAGGAAGGAAAGGGAGTAGACGCAGGAGCACGGTGGTGTTGGTGGTAGAGATAGGAGGACTGATGGGGTATTCAGGAGGTTGAGGGGAGTGTAGACCCAGACTAGGGTGGTAGAAGCAGCAGTGAGGGTGAGGCAGCTGAGGGTGAGACGAGGAGGACACAGATGGAGATAAGATGCTGGGATGAGTTGTTAACCCCAGGTGGTGCAGATGATGATGACTCTGATCATGAGGGTCGGAGGGGTGACCCATGACATAGTTCCTGGGAGCCTCCAGAAAGCTCAGCTGGAGGTTGTTCATGATGTAGCTGTAACGGGTATTGACTGGACCCAATTGCAGCACAAACAAGCAGGTTCACTTTAACAACAGTCTTTATTGAACACCAAATCCAATGAAGCAGCAGAGTATAGCAGGTGGGTATGGCAGGATTCGAACTCGGGTCTTCCGGGTGATAGGCGAGCAGAATAGCAGTGGACCACAGGTCAGACAAGAGTTTTGAACTCGTGAGCAGGGAATTGTCCACAGTCTTAATTTGCTCTACGAGTTTAGTGAAGGGGAAAACGCTCAACTCACAGCTGGAGGAAGATTTCTTGGAGAGTGGTTCAGGTGAGGATCCAGAGCTTGCAGACGAGCTGGCAGAACCAACGTCGGCAGAGGAGGTGAGTTGGCGAGGTGAAGCTGATGAGAAGGGGGATCTCAACAGAGCAGGAACAGGCTGAGTGACATTCAGCTGCAGGCAGACGAATAGCAGGAAACAGGCAGGCAAAGCTCGTAGTCAAGGACAGAAGGCAGGTAGGTTTACCGGGGCTGAGGCGAGAAGCAAAGGTCAGGGGCAGATCAGGTCGATACCAGGTAAGCAGTCCGAGGATAAACGCTGGAGAGTCAGGCATGAGAGCAAAGACAATCTGGCAAAGAGTGAGGGGAAAGAAGCTGCATATATACTGGCCTAATTGGAGATGATGAGCAGGTGAGAGCAGCAGGTGGAAGCAGTTAGCTGATGAGGGGTGTGGCTGAGCAGCAGAGCAGGAGAGGGCAGAGCAGACTGTTACAGTAGCAGTCTGTCCAGCTAAAGCTGTGGCGTGCGGCTCCAATGAGGAAGTCCTGGTCATGTTTACCAGACTCCCACCGTATGGGGGAGTAGAGGGAGGGGTTTCACAGCTGGAGGCGGGCGGAGAGCAGTGGGCGACGGAGAACCTAAAACGGAGACACAGTGAGAGGATGACAGCAAAAAATCAACAATCAGAGCCAAAAACACAAACTCTCAGTGGATCCACTTTGATTGTTTAAGCACTTTTACTTGTTGGAAAAAATAATATTTGTATATATAAGGGTGTGGGGTAAATCCAAAGAATGGAACTGCTGGTGCCTTTAACAGTGACTTTTTTCTACAATACAGTGTTACCTTCAGATGTTGATCTTCATGTGTGACAAAGGATGTCAGCACAGTACAGACAATTTGATCTCTTTAAAACTCTCATCATGAAATTATAAACTGCTCCAGCTCTGACCTTCATCAACACACTAGTATAAAATTGCCTTCACTTATAAAGACTCCCACCCTAAACACATCTGTGTTTTTGTAAATGTCAGGTTTCAAACTTGACTTGCTTGCCTGAACTAGCTCACAAACCTTACTCTCTTCTTTAGCCTCCAAAGGAAACCAGTCATAAGGTGAATCTTTTTTAAAACATACTCTAAAGTCAGTTTGAGTGGTACTAGTACGAATGAAAACTTGGAGGACTCACGGAATCGTGTTTAAAAAGAGCTCACCCGGTCTCTGATCTTGCGGAGCAGCTCGGTCTGGTATAATGTTCTCGCTGCCCACTCTTCGGTTAGAGGCTCCTCGAGTACCGAAGGACCCACCAACCCTGCAGGAAACAAAAGGGAGACAATCAAGATCAACATGGGAGCGGAGAGAGGCAGGAACAGGGTTTTAGAGAGAGGGATTAAGGCAGGGAGCATGCAATAACTACTCCATGTGTAACGGTTACATTTGTCCAACAGCCTGAAAAATAAATGGCTGCATCTGAAAACAGAAACAAAAATAATTCAACTTTTTTTTTTTTTAAAGTATTTCTTTGGGCAAGTGTTGCCTTTATAGATAGGACAGTGTGGGAATATGTGGAGATAGAGAGAGAGAGGGGGGGGACATGCAGCACGTGGTCCGGACCGGACTCTAACCCATGACTGCTGCAGGGACTGTGGTCCCCATACATGGGGCGCGCTAACCCGCTAGGCCATCTGCACACCCCAAAGTAATTCAACCCTGAAAGATAAACTAAAATATAAAACAATAAAAAATGAAACAGTACCTTCAGGATTGATTTTAAGGTTCTTTTATTAGTTTTTAGATGTATTAATGGTCTTGGCCCCTCCTGTTTATCTGACTTACTTTTACCGTATCGACCCTCGCGCACCCTGAGGTCCTCCGGCACAGGCCTTTTACCTTACCCAAAGTCAAAACAAAAACACACGGGGAGGCGGCTTTCAGTTTCTCTGGTCCCCGGTTGTGGAACAGCCTGCCGGAGAGCCTCTGGGCCGCAGAGACTGTTGATGTTTTTAAGAAGAGAAGATGTTTTTAAGAAGAGGCTCAAGACTCACCTTTTAAATTGTTAATTGCCTTTTTTTATTTCTCTTATTCCAAATGTTCATTTTAATCAAAGTTCTTATTATTGTTTATTTTATTAATTACCTCTGTTCTTAGTCTTTTTCTTAATTCCCGTCACAGGTTTTTTTTATGGTAAAGAGCTTTTACTTATCTGTTCATTTAATATTATTTTCTTGTTTTAGTCCACCAGGTTTTAGTCTTTCTTTTCACCATTTTTATCTCTATTTTAATCTCCAGTGTTTCCCAGAGGTTGCTCTTTCCTCATGTAATGTCTCGGTGTCAGGCCATGTCTCTCTAACAATATGTCTTAAATTCTCACACTGTGTGCGGTTGTGTCTGTGTATGTGTGGGTGAGTGAGGGTGGGTGTGTGCCTTTGTGTGCGTGTGGGTCCATGGGTAAGTGTGTGTGTGGGTGGCAGGGTTGGGTTTTATTGTCATTAATTGTTGTTTTTAGCCTCTGTGAGGCACTTTGAATTGCATTTTTTGCATGAAAAGTGCCATACAAATAAAGTTGAATTTGAATTTGAATTCCTCTGAGGCAGTTTGCAGGCCATGTTGAAAAAAGAGTTGAAGTTTCTCTCCAAACTCTCATCTGTCTCATCTCATCTCATCTCCAGTCAAGCCAGAGTCCTAAATTGGGACCAGTTGAAGGTTCTCCTCTCCTGTGGAGCTGAGTGGGCAGGCCTGGCCTGCATGAAGAGCTGCAACACCAGTACATGTTCCAGTTGTAGTTGTTGTGGTGACCAGTGTGGCGTCCTGAGTGCATAAGTCTGCTGTCAGCTGAGTGTCTGTGAAGGACAAACACATCAACCAGCTGAGCAGGTGATAAAATCACAAGCCAAATTCAAATATCGAGGCAAGATTTAAGTAAAGAAGGAGAAAAAAAATCCTGCAATAGTCTGACAGAATGTCCGAAAGGTGAATTTTTGAGCTTTATATTGTTGAAAATTTAGTTTTCTCTTTGGTGCGAGGCTTCTGGTTCTGATCCAGAGAAGGATCATCATTGGAGAGTCAGTACCTTTGCACGAATTCAGAGTTTCACTTCATTTTACATCCCTGCATTTGTTCAGGCAAATATCTGGTTTTCAGTTCACATCAGTCAGCCTGAATCTTTGTGAATGAGCTACAGCTCAAGAAATATTGAGTTTCAGCACTTAAAATGCTAATCTAGTGGCCTGTGGGGCACCAACGGGCCTGAGCAGTGTCGTGCCACTGCCTCTGTGGACTGCCTCCCCAGTGCAATGTTCTCTGCAGCAGCCTTAAAGGTTGGTACACACTGGTGATTTAGCGAAGCAACACGGAAATGTAAAATATCCGGCTTATGCCTCTACTTTTACACACCTGGTGTGACGCAAAATAGACTATTGCGGGTTTCTGTGGCTGCAGTTTCAGCTTTCTTAAATCTGGATGCGCTGGAACCAGTGTACGGCGAGTCCTTTGAGAAACTACTCGAGCATGATAATCTGTATGGGTTCATTAGAGAGACATTTCTTTCCCTCCATGTAGGGGTCCAGTAAAATACGTGTAATTTCGCTGGGCCTGACCTGCCTGCCAAAAATCATGACTTTTTGAGCACGTCTAGAGGGGTCTTAAGTTAAAAAACTTTTAAAATTAATAAAAATTATAAAAATAAATAATTCCTACAATTTCTACTTGCAGCGTCGGCTCAGGCCCTTATAATAATAAACAATTTAAGGCTGCCACATGCAAGGTGGTTGCGAGGTGCAAAGACCCGAATCTTCAGTTTAATTTTTTTTTCATTTGCACATTGCTAAAAACAGTCAAAACTGCTTCATGCTGCCTGTTGTAATTACAGAAGCATCATGAAATCTAGATACATAGGTCTGAAATAATGTTCTACCTAAACTGTTTTTTCAACAGCTGATATTGATGCCATTTAAGAGAAATTAAGAGAACAAATACCTTAATATATGAGGATGATATCTTGCTGATGAAGTATGTGAATTTTGTTGTGAGAAAACTAAAAAAATAACAAGGAATGAGCAGGAACTGAAACTGTTACTATAGCCTGTGGCTCAATGAGAATGAGCAACCAGGGTGATGCATGGGCAATTGTCAAACAAGGATTAATGGATTAATAACACTGTCAGGTATCCACCCAGAGCTGTCTCTATTGAAACCCTTTATTTTCACCACTTCCTATACCCTCTCTTCCTCACTGCACTAATAGGGAGTGTGAAGGGAACTGGGGACATCAAGAGCCAATCTCACAGACAAAAAACTCTCGGCAGAATTTAATCTCTCCGTCCTCTTTCTGTCTTTCTCCGACAGCACCGCTCTCCAGCTTCCCCCACTGTGTGTGATGGTGGTGTGTTCGGGTTATTGGAGCCTCTATCAAACTGAACAGAGAACTGTAATTACAGTGAATTGTCAACAAGGATGAGAAAATTAACCCTAGACCATTTTAGCTTTCTTTTCACATGTGTGTGATTAAACAGCATAAGCACGAAAGAGTCTGTTGACACAGACTCACACATCTGTTATAGACTAATGTTTAAAAGAAAAATTTAGTCTAACTTTTTACATAGGCAGCGACAAAGGAAATGCTCATGGCAAAACATTGAGAAATATTATATAATATTTATATATATTAAATATTCACAGTGTCCTGTGAATATTCCATCCATCCATAAAACAGAAAATACATGTAGTACAAATCTGCACTGTCCATGCAGGTTTTTATTTTTTTATTTTATTTTATTTTTTGATTACCAGCTCTATTCTGTCTTTCACTTTATCATACTCAACCATCATTTGGGCAATAGTTAAGTACCTGTAACAATTTTTTTACAGGTTGATATCAGCCACTCTAGTTGAGCTAGACTGCATTACTTGCATCATTACATATAAAAATGTCGAAAGGGCATTTTGGAGAATGCCAATTTTTATGGCTTGGGTATCTTTCTTGCATGTTCTGCTATTTGCCATCTGGCTAGATCTGAGCAAACCACATTATGTCTACAAGACTGTAACCTGTGACCTCCTTGACAAGATTGTGAAATCATTCATCATGAAGTTACTGCCATGGAGGAGATAAACAAATGCGCGGGAGGTAAGAGTGCCTCTTACACTAACCCGAGATAAGGATTCATTTAGAGTACCTAGTGTGTGCAGGATGAATTTCTGACTAATTAAATACGTGTGCACTGCAATATTAGGACTGATTGATGGCAAAAGAATGGCTGAGGAAAATACTTTTTTTATGTAAGTCGTATGGGGTAAATAAACCCACCCTTTCTTTCCCTGCTGTTAAATCTTTCATTTGTCAGCACACCTTTGACTTTCTTCATCAACTAAATCCATTCCTGCTTGTGTAATTGTATATCTTCTACCTTCATCCAGCTGTCATTTATTTTGTAGGGTTTCCTCCTGCCCTCCTTTTGCACACCCCAGCTCTAGACACCCACCTCAACATTTTCACCTTGTGATTGCATTGCAAAGCTTTACTCAACGCCAAAAGATCTTCATCCCTAACCTCCCCCATGTACAAACAACTCATCCCATTCAATCTTTCCCTGCAATTGCTGCTACAGTCTCCCCACCTTCTCTCTAGTTTTTGCTGCCCACAAAAAGCTGTAACCTCTTTCACCATCCTGGTGCACCTCAGTGAAATTGCTCCTCCAGATTTCACCCTGTTGCCAATAATATATATTTTTTTCCCTTCCCCACCCCTTTTTCATCAAGTCACTCTCATCACATGACCCAACAACTGCCATTTCTTTATTTTTTTCTTTCATTTCCTCTTTGTCCTTTTGCCCCTTCTCTTTTCCTTTTTTTCTTTCTCTTTTTGGTTTATTTTCAAGCTTTCATTTCAGCCATTTAATCAATAATCTTTAAATGCTCAAACTGTATTGATTTTCAGCTATTGAAAGATGCTTCATGAGCTATTTATTGGGCCTGTTTTTTATCCTCATCCCAATTCCCACCCCATGTTCATCTACATAAGAGCTACAATGACATCCCACTGCCCTCTCCAAACTCTAGCTCTCCAACTACTCCTCCATCCAAATTACCTGGCGACCCCCTGCTGAAACCAGGCCCTTAAATCCTTTGCCTTTTCCCCATCCTTATCTAAAAAACATCTCAGCTTACTCTGGCCCCCTCCATTCTTTGTATTTAATTAAGGGTCATGGCAGCTGATGATGCCTGATGTTTGATAGCTCGTTAAATCGTGCATCAGAAGTAGACCCTAATTAATTCTGG